ACAATCGTTGAAGTATGATGCTAGCGAGAAGTTCAGAGGTATCAGTAACTGTAGTTCGAGTAAGGGGTTCGCTCATCGGGAATTCGTTCATTCAAGCTATGCTTAGTATATTTTAATTTGCGATGGATTTTGTGTCTAACGGGCGACAAAGAGCACTAGATGCGTTTTTCGTACTTGCTGTGACTCCGGGGCGATGTGTACTCTTATGTTCAATTTCCCAAGTGAGAAGAGCCGAGAAACACCGCTGCGTTAACGAACACAGTCACCCAGAGAAGTTATCCATGAACCTCGAAAATTGTGACCTACATCGTTTGAGCACTGACACTGGTATCAGTACTATTCCTTTTTGAAGTTAACAAGACAGAAAATAGCTGACAAAGGGAACTGTTACGGAGACGAGGCCGAATGCTTTCACTTTGATACACATAACATCAAAAAAGACTGATTGAGTGGCGACAGAGCTATATTTGTATTTGATGAGCCAGAGGACATCATGACGGAATCGAAAATCGACTCATGCTGACTAACGCCATGTGAGATTTTCGACACATCATCGAAAAGCTGGAGGGAAATGAGAGATGCTACTATCTAAGTGACAACATCTATTCACTTCTTTGATTTGTATCCCGTACAATGAGTGAGGTCTGTAATGAGCTCAATGTGATTACACAATTGTGTCCCACTTGTCACAATTCAAAGTGCATAAAGCCGGCTCACGCCCAAGAGGGAATTTTAGCATCACGATTTTCACAAAGCATTGCATCGGAAACAGCACTGAATAAAACAGGATACTTGACAACTTCAATGAGCATGAACTCGAAACCGATTTGCACAACCCACAAAACGAACCACTACACTGTCCAAGATTGACTATGATTTGTATTCGAATAAGCAGATCTTGTTTGAAAATGTCATTTTAGGAATACCCAAAGGAGTGAGCTACAGGAAAATAAAAAGCTGTAGACGCGAGGAATGAGAACAAAGTTAAGTTAGAGACAGGAACTCACCCAACAAAAACGGTTTGTCCCAATAATTGACTTTGGCACTCAAATTCACTCGGATCATGTGATCCACCAACTTCAGATATGTAGTATGATACGGTGCCAGAAGGATTTCTTCGTTTCCCAGTTGTGTCACAGCGGCTGCCGGAGTTGGCGTACCTGGTGCACTGGATGTCTGTGAAGGAGCACTTGATCCACCGGATCCGGTCACACCTGTCGAGGCGGTACTGGCAGCAGCGGTATTGACACTGGGCAAAGGTGGCTGAATCAGAACCGGGCGTGATTGGATGCATAGATGAAGAGTACAACGACGACAACCGACGAGAACAGCTCGGCGACAGGCGGAAATGATGAGACAATCTTCACAATGATTCAATTGTAGTGTGTTTTCGATCGGGCCGAGGACGATTGTCAGCTTGCGACATTTGTCTAGGGTGACAGATCTACAAAAAGAGAGAGAAACCACTATACTTAGCATTGCTACACATGTTCCATGAAAGAATTCAAAAACGCCGCTCGAAATTCCAAGTCATGGTCGGAGTCCAGGGAAGATAACTTTGAAAAGGTTACGCAGTCCGATGAAAATAGGGATAAACAGCAAGTTTCACTAGGAGTCACAGTGCACCTTTGGTGCCTGGGGAGTGGTTTACTGAATGCCATCAGCAACCCAAAAGCAGAGGTACAAAGTGTAAACAACTACTACATAATGGTTAATGCAATCTCGGAAACTTTCAATGCTCAAAATAATATCGAGTTGAAAGAACGATCCCAAGGATGCAATGGATATGCCGGTGATAATCCCTAAAAAGGATCATGCAACTAAATAGTGATTCTAAGAAATTTCACACATCCAGCTCGCTTCAGAATTTAGCACGGCGAGGAAAAAGCAAACCTCGAGTACTATCAACATGAAAGAAAAGATCCAGAGCATACAGGAAGGATTGCTCTATCTCTGTTCAGAATGTAAGGCATACTCACTGAAAATTCCTTTGGTATGGGACAATCAATCAGACCCAGGATAACCCAACTCAGATGATGAGTCACAATACATAGCCAAACAGGAAGACTGACAACGATCTAGTAAAACAACCACTGCGCATATGCATTCCTGTGCCCTCCCTTTTCGCTATAAACATGTTTTTGGTACAATACGTGAATTCTTTCACGCTTTCATGTGTTTTATTTCACTAGCTAGACGAGAAACGTGTGTAACTAAGAGGCATCTGATTCGGATCTATTAGTTGTCTTACTCAAGACCAAAGTTAGAGTGGTTATTAGAATCTCCGAACATTAAACCCAAAAGTTGGCACTGCACAAGGACAAATGGACAACCGAATAAACGAATAACCGTACCGTATGCGAAGAACATTTCTGAAATGACCATGGGAATACTGAAGCCACACAATATTCAGATAGCCAACAAACCAACGACGACCCTACGGAGAATCTTATCACAAACCGAGAAGCAAAAAGAAGATAAAAATCGAACAAATGTGATCTACCGCATCAACTACAAGGAATGCAACAAGCACTACATCGGTCAAACAGGGAGAAAACTAGCAACTCGCGTGCATGAACACAAACTGACCGTCAAAAGACATGATGCGCTCTCAGTCATCTCAATCCACGAGGGCCAAAAAGGACACAACTTCCATTTCGAAAACACCAAAGTCGTGAATCAGACCCTCACCAAACACGCGAGAGAATTTCTGGAAGCTTGGTATTCATTGGAAAACTGGGTCAAGCGACACATTGACATCGATCAAGTCTACACCCTCAGGCAACAAAAGGACCAATCAGCGCAAAGAAAGCGGGTCGTGTCACACGTCACAACAGGACAACAGTAACACATGTACATGAAGTTGTAT